TGTGCTTATCTTGTGCTCGCCAATTTGGTGAGCACTTTTTGAAATTTGAAAAAAAATATATTATAGTAATGTCTAGTGCTTATCTTGTGCTTATCAGTGGTAACCACTGATCATTCATCAAAGTAAATTTTTTTTTTTATTTTATTTTGTCTATCTTCCCAGTTCAGTTGACTTAGACGACGAATTTGGTCATGCATTTTTTTCCCCTTTTGTACAGAAAAATTTCATGAAATTTCTTTCCCGGTCGTTACAATACTTATAATATCTACCTATATGCATGAAGCATGATGTCTTATACTGTATTAAAGTAATGATTATAATCAAAAGGATCGTGGTGACTGTGGTGGAATGGTACTGATTTTTCCATCTTTAACCATATAGGTCAAGACTTCAAATAACATATACATACGAGTATCTTGCAATACAACACCCGAGTGCCCTCGCTCCAAATGATGAAGATAGATATCTATCATACCTGGAACATGGGAAAAAAGAGTTTCATAATATCTTGTAGGAGAATAAATCATATCTTCAACGTATATTCAAACAATAAATCAAGCTTAAAAATTTCAATTTTTTTTATTAATAGTATGAATTCATATTTAGTTAGCAGAACACAACTGGTACATAAATTTAAACCAAAATACTAGTATTTGGTATTGCGCGCCTTTAGTGTGTACAGAGGGATTCATACATAGAAGGGACCAATAAAAGGTTGTTTTTCCTTGCTGCGGCCAATCCATATGCTCTCTCATATCTAAACTCCTAGAATTATTAATATCATCCGGGAGTTTCCGGTCAAAATAATACAACAAATTAGCCAATGGAACTTCAATATTAGCTAAACCAAATGCAATTCCCGGGACAACTCCTTCTCCCAGCAACTAATGGTAGGTACTCATAATTAGTTCCTATAAAATCAACAAAATCATCCCCAAACCTTTCTGGCCTGAAACTTTCAGGGTCGTTCCGATATTTAGGGTGGGCATTAATTATGACTCTAGTTTTGGGAGGGATGATATATCCGTGGATTTCACACCTCTCAAAGTTTCTTTGATTGCAAATCCTCAAGTAACTCAATTTTTGAATATCACTTTCATCAATTATTCTTCCTTCCATAGACAATGTTTCCCTTAATTATTTCAGTTTGTGCTTTGGCCAATATATTTGGATTTCTTATCATCTCTCCCATTGCCCATTTCACCACCATGGACGATTTCCCTGTTCCTCCAATGAACATCCTATGCATCAATCAGACAAAATTCTCCATTTTTTAAACTTCTTTTTAAGGGATAAAATACAAGATACATAGAGAAATTAACTATTTCCCAAATACAAAAAAGAGTATATAAATTTGTATAATTCTTATACCTTCCTTGGTAAAATGTTACTCCTTCCTTCCATAAAAAATAGTTCATTTTTTCATAAATAATTCAACAAAAAGAATTAGGGCAGAAGAAGTAATATAATAAGATTCTTAAGGCTATGTTTGGAAGATTTTTTGAGTGTGTTTTTTTTGTATTAGTAATGTAAAAAGGTGTATTGGAAATGTAAAAAGGTGTATTGGGAATGTAAAAAGGTATGTTGGAATGGGATAGATATTAACTAGATATTAAACTCGTGCGATGCGCGGGATTTATTTATATACATTATAAAAAATTTACAAAAAAAATATAAAAAGTGTAAAATGAATTTTACTATTTTTATTTATAATCCATCAGTAATGTAGGTGTTTTGGAGTATATTTTACTATCCAAAAGCGAAAATAAATAGAGATAAATTGGAATTGATGATAATTGATTATCCAAAATTTCAGTGATAAAGATAAAGTTTATAACAACTTTTTAGATATTATTAAGAAAAGATTATATTTATTTGGGTAAATATGATATTACACAAATAAATGCATTGGTTTGAAATTCAAAGTTAACATTTAATTACAGTTAAATCACATCCTTTTAGTAATAATTGAAGGCAAGTTTTGTACCTTTTTTTCTTTTTTATTGGCGAAAAAATACAGGGTCATATTTTTTAGAGAAGATTTTAAAGATAACATTAATGTTGAATGATTGGTTTCTTTTTTTTTTTTGAATTGTAGTCTGTTGATTTACATGATTGGGAGGGAGATTTTTTTTTAAAAGAAATTAATTAAATGAGTCCAGTTGTAACTTTGGGGATTCTTTTGGGGAGGAAATAATTTTGGTGCATTAATGTTCTTTAATCCCGGCAATTAAATTTAATTAATTTTTATTTTCCTATTTTAAACTATAGTTTTAAATGCCATTTGATAAAATTTTATTTACATAAATTTGAAGGACTATTAGTATAATTATTATAAATATTTTTTGACTCAACCATTAGAAAAATGACACATAGGATTTTATCCTATGTGGCACCTTTAGAATTCTTTTTTGTTTTCTCTCTCTGGTCTCTCTTAGTATAATATATACTATAGATTAAAAATTCTGAAAAAATGAGTGAGAAAAGGAACCAAACATAGTGGATTAAATCTAATAAAATTGTCTTGCAAACTCACTGGTAATATAGCCTTAATGCTTGTGTTGGTGATTGGAAAATTGAAGGTCATTCTGGGTAGAAGGTCAATCAGATGTTCTTGTCCGAACTCTCCGTTCCCAATTTTGGTTCTAGCACTATCCTGAATGTGGTCTTCAATTATGGTCTCCAAATGTCATCAATGTTGTTGTGCAACTCCAACGTCTTGGGCTTTGAGTTTGAGCTAAAATAATGAAGAATTTTCTAGGACGGGAAAATATCACAAACATCAAGCCCGCAGGACAAAACCAAAACTTCCTTCATCAGTCCAGTCTATTGCGATCTGGTTGGGCCCGGACAAGGTTAATTAGCTTATTATGCTTTTGCTTTATCATTTCTTTTTTTTTTTTTTTCCCGCTCGTATAATAAACAATTTCACTCTTTGCAGGTGTCCTTGATTTGTATTGCACTTTTCCAAACGGCTTATCTTATAGTATCTTTAGTTTTGGATTGACCTGTTCAAATTATTGGAGCAAATTCATAACTCTGAGAGTCCCTTACTCATGGGATTTCTGATTTAGGAGTGTTTGTTAAAATTGCATTTTCAACTTGAAAATAAGTGAAAAAGACCTATCCCACATTAATAACTCATATTATTAACATACAGTAAAAATTCTCTAAATTAATACCCATTAGATTGGCAAAATTTATTCATTTATAGAGTAGTAATTTGTAGAATTTTGTTTTGTAGGATATTCCGTTTTCCTTTGAAAGGAATATTTTGATATGTGCAAAGAATGGTCGGCCAATGGCCATGTACAAAGGCGAGCAGAAATTTAACCCGGATTGAAGCTTTAAATTCTTCAAGACGCAAATGAAATAGCTAGCTAGTCGATCTAGATGCAGAATTGGTATTGAAAGTTTAGGGCGAAAATAAAATGGAAAATTTAATTGGTTTGGATTAGGATGGAGGTAAAGCGTCTGCATAGCACATCTGTTTGCACCTACGAAAGATGGTTTTGCAATTATTTTAACTCACGTGTTACATCTTCATTACATCTTTTTACATTTCTAATAATGTAAAAACTTACCAAAATGTTCCAGACAAAGTAGCATGCATTACTTATTTATGTATACTAGATAAATTTCTTTTTCTTAATGCATTTTCGGTCTTTTAATGTATCTAGGCCGGTGGTCACATAATTTTGTCTTATATACTTCGGAACCGCGCCAAGTCTGTTGACTTGGGAAGCAGGGCAAAAGGATGAAACATGTTCATGTTCATGTGTAGGGTAAGATCTCTTTCTAATTTAGCATAAAGGGCCGGAGAAATTGAATGATGAAACAATAAAAAAGAAGTTCCAAAATCATCTAATGATAAGTTTCAATATAAAGGTACACCAAAACCCATGGAAGTGATTTTGCGGGCATCTAAAATATGTCAAAGCTGTCTAGGGGATGCAGTGAAGAGTAACAAATGTTAATTTTTATATTGTGTTGGTGCATTTTTCAATTATTATTATTAATTTTTTTTCCGAAAAACAAACAACTAGCCTTCACTTTTTGCTAATAAGAACCATTATTTAATTAATTTTGTTACATATTATCGATCGTTTTACATAATTTAGTTATATATATTTATATTCGTTCCGCTGTGTACTACTGGAGTGTTTAACTCCTCACAATGATTTACTATGTCTGTAAATAATTCATTTAAGATAAACTTGGTCTTGTTAGGATTCACTTTTTGAATTTACTGTGTCTTAATTTGCAGCTCCTTGATGTTGAGTGCGTCCTCATACGTCTTATAAGGTAGAAATGAAGAAATTGTTCGGGGACTATATGCTTGCAGAAGTACCAAAATACTCTCTATATTCCAAAATTATTATCTAATTTAGATTTTCATTTAATACAACTTAAACTGGATAATTATTTTGAGACGGAGGGAATAACAATTATGACAATATACATACATATATATATCTTTTCTGTTCTGAAATAAACGTCCAAATTTAAAATAAATATAAATTTTAGGACAAAAGAAATATATATAATCACCGATCTCGCATTAACAACAATCTCTCTACTTGATCCTCGAACTCATACAAATATATCCAAATAAATTAGTTTCCATGCGAAAATGTCAATTATTTCGTTTTCTAGATGTTGTCTAGCTCCCTTGAACGTCTTTAGACTCAGAGACTCGCCGAAAGATATATGGAGTTCATGGAGGACTGGACGAGGGCAGGAGAGAATAGATACGAATAAAGATTGAACTATCACGTTAGGCGTGATCACGCCTATAATGCAGTAAAGGCATTTGGTGCACGAAAACAGCAAATACCACTGCCGAGAAAAATTTTTGATTCCCGGCAATGACGCCAAATTTTGGCAAGTTTGTCAACACACTCAAAATAAATCCGATCTTCATGCCGAACTATAAGAATTTTGTATTAGTAGTAGAACCAGTTTGGATTCTGAAAAAACTAATTATTTAATTTCTTAGATTGACAACAATAAAAGGGTCTTAGTTTTGAATTGCTAACTATCACCATTAACTAATAATGTGTCAATTGCAAACAAAGCAGACAAACACTTAGAGAATTAAAAAATAGAAAGAATCTGATTCAAGAGACGGATAATTCGATTAAATTACTGATCACAAGTCATTAAAAGCATTCTTGCAATTCTAACGACCTAAATGTGTTTTTAGCAGTAATCGCACTTTGTAGAAACCTTTTTCATACACGGAAGAAACATTTAACACACACATTAAAAGCTTAACTCCAACCAACAAAAAAACAAACTAACGAATCAAACATAATATAATTTAAACACTTTAGTTTATCATCCAAACAACGCAATTGTTTCACATCGTTGTACAACTAGTTACACCTCAAATTTAATTTTTCAAAACACTAGAGGGAGAAAGAGAGGAAAAACGACACTCAACTCTACATTTGCATCTATACATACACATCTTCACGATTGGTTTTGGATTTTTGAAAGTCATTTTTATTGATACAAAAGTCGAGTGGGAAAATTATTAATTGGATCACGCAATTCACAGGGCAGACTTGACATGAAAGATGGGGTAATGGTACTGATCACGATGATGAAGGAGTTTCCGTTCCTCCTCCTCCTCCGGCTTGATCATCATCTCAAGCTCTTTCACAAATCTATCCATAGCGAATCCGGGCAAGCAAACCGGAACCACAACCCCTTTCTCTCCCGTTTTGTTTCTCATGGGAATGTAAAAGCTTGCCACCCCAGGAATGGCCCCGACCCCACCTTTTGCCGGCCCGCCGTACGCGGGTTTTCCCCACCCGAAATCCACCTCCTCGAACCCGGCCCGAGTCACGTCCGACACCAGGTAGGTCCTTACCACCGTGAAATGCGGCCTCCCTTTCAGCACCATCAGGTCCGCCACCGACTTCATGTAGTCCTCCGTCACGTCCGCCTTCGTCTTCATCACCAGCTCCGCCGCGTACCCCAGGGGATTCCGCATCAGCTTCCCGGCCGTCGTGAGCGCCACGGGGAAGGCGAATGCGTTGCCGTAGTAACCCGGGGGCAACGGCGGGTTGAACCGGGTACGAGCATTCACGATGCACAGGACCCGGACCTCTTCATCCGGGTCGGGTTGGAGTGCGATGGTTCGGCACCGCCAGAGTGAGGCGGTGAGGACCTCGAAGTTGGAGCACTTCCGGCGGAGGTGCGGCGGGAGGGATTTCCGGAGGGCATCCATTTCCTTAGAACCAAAGAAGAAGGATTTGTGGACCATATCATCTAAGGGAATAATGGTGCCTTTGGTATCTGGAACTTGGTCATATTCATGGTGGACGCAGGTAACTCTTGGCGGGTTCCGCGCATTTAACAGTTCCCTCATCCATACCGGCGGAACCGATGGAGCCGGGGCTCCTCTGGCAATTTCGGCGACGGCCGTCATGAACTGCACCACCCCTGCCGCGTCGGACATGGTGTGGTTCACTCGGAGGCCGAAGATGAAACCGCCGCATTGGAGACGGGTCATCTGAATGAGGAGCAGCGGCGCGTGGAGGACTTCCCCGGCTCCGGGAACGTCGAATATCAGCTCCTCCAAGCACGGGAACGGCGGCTGAAGCTCGTCGACCCCGAACTGCTCCAGCGTCACGTCAGCATCCGCCTCGATGAACATCACGCCTTCTCCGGTACAATCCACCACCAACTTCCTCCCTTCGGTTTCTCGCAACCTTCCGGCAAACGGGTAGTAAAACACTAGGGTTTCCGCTAAAGCCGCTTTGATCACCGCCACGGGGTCCTTCCCGTCGTTCCTTTTCTTGTAGAACTGTATGACGGGGATTTGAAACCGCAGGCCTTCCTGATCGTCGATATCGGACAAGGCCTTCGTTTCCCTGGGCGTCACCCTCGCCGGAGCGACTAGCACCGGTGTCTGCCTCCGGACAGTGAAGCTGCCCAACTTTGGTAACGATCCCATCTGAGTGTAGTAAATGAGGTGGGCAAATGAGTACGTAAAAAGTAACGAAATTGTTGATATATATGGATGCCTAACTCCCCACACACACTTTAGATGAATGCAGAAAGTATGCGAAATTAATTAAGGAGGATTGTGCGTAAAACTTCGATAGAAATGGTTTGATGAAAAGGTTAGTTGGATAAGTTGGAATGAGTTCTAGTTCTATTTATAGGAGAGCCCGAGGGATGCAGTATTGCAGTGTATGGTAGTTAATTACGTTGATACATAGTAATATTATTATTATTATTGACTGTTGATGTTATACAAATACGAAAAAATAAAATCAAATTGCTGTAATGTTTGATTAAAGTTTCAGGGAAATTTAAGTGGAAATATAGTGGAAGGGAGAATCAGGGTCAACTATGAATGGAAAGGAGATGGCTGGAGATCGACATTTGTGAGTTGGTGGGGTTGGAGACCACATAATTTCCTTTTTGACTGTTGGCGGCTTGGTTGTGTATTGTTGTCAAGTTTTTTTCCTTTAATTTTTTTTTTTAACGAATAATTTCATTCATGATTGTGACATTTCTATTGCAGTTTTTGGTGCGTACCCTTTTTTTTTAATCATAAGTAGTCAGCTAGTAGCCTTGAAAGATGCCACTAAAATGGCTATTCTCAATTTCTTTTCTAACTGCACCGATGAGAAAAATACGAAAATAAATAAGCTGAAATTGATTCGTCAAATCATGTGCACACTTTAATTTAATCGGAAGTTATACTCATTCCCTTCTAAATATTATTGTCCAGATCAAAATTTCACTTTTGCTACAAATTATATTAAAAATAAAAATCTAACTAAACAATTATTTTAGATCAAAGTATAACATTAATGTGCATATATTAGCATAGTCACGTCACGTTCCCCGACATTCTTTGAGTTTTTGAGGAAACAATGATTAAAGAAAAAGTAGGTTAATAGTACAGTTTCAGAATAAGAAGTGGCCCAAAAAAAAAATGATTATCGGATTTGCCAAAATCAATATTAATCTTCGCAAACACATAATAATCAGATTTTCAAATCCGGGTATCAGCATAAAATTAGATTTCGCAAATCCTATAATCATATTTTTTGCCATTCTATGTTCTCGAACCATTTTTGGCCACTTTTTTTTTTTTTGGAAAAAATTTAAGAAGTCAAGTCCCCTCTTTTTCATTACGGTAAGAAATTGAGAGTGGTAAATTAACTAGCTCCGATCGCTCATTTGAATTGTTTTATTTGACCAGAATTTTCGTGTTTGATAATAAGTTGTAGATCTTTTACTTCTTTGAAAGCGTCTAAATTTTGATTTGATTTTATATTTTCGCAATAAATGAGCATCTATAGTATATATATATATATATCTATATATATATATATTATAATATATATATTATAATAAGAGAGAAACCAGAGAGAGAAATAAAAAAGATTTCTAAGGGTGTCACATAGGATAAAATCCTATGTGTTATTTTTCTAACAAATGACAGAAATAAAAGTTTATGCAATTATACTAAAAGTCCTTGAAATTGTATGTAATTAATTTAATCATATCTCATAAATCATTAGTTGCAAATGAAAAAATTGAAAGAGTTAATGTATTGTCATAAATCAGTATTTAATCTTAATCCTAATCAATTAATGTAATAACATCCATTCCCCCAGCATTCGAATATAATTTGATTAAAAAATCAAACAATTCAAAAAAAAATAATGGATCAATAAATCAACATTAATGCCATATAAATTCAAAAAGTAAAATTAATACCGATATGAACTTTTTCACTAATCAAAATGAGTATAAATTTTTTTATCCGATTAACTCAGAATTATAGTATGTATTCATTATAATTAATGTTGATTTTTTAATTAGTGCTGATTTGATCAATACTAGGGTACGAACTATGGTTAATAGAGAAAGTTAAAAATTTAACATTAATCAAATTTAATGCTGAATTTTTTTTTCGGAAAGTTGAATATAATCAATCTATAGTATTATACTAAGAGATAAAACAAAAAGGATTTCTAAAGATGCCAAATAAGATAAAATTCTATGTGTCATTTTCTCAAATATTCTCCCAAAAAATACTACGTAAAATTATGAATAAGTCGTCTTATTACAAATAAAAAAAAATAAAAAGAACAAAGTTTTCAAAACAACCATTATCACATTCCTTCAAAATCTCGGCTCATAATGAATTTTAAAATTTGAAATAATTTACTATCATAATGAGCATTCAATGTGTTAATATTTTTCATAATTTTTAGTTTGACTATGACATCATACTATTTTTGGTATATAAAAAATTGTGCAATTAGCATTTAAACTCTATTTCAAATTTAAATATCATTTAATAAAAAAATTAGAGTCACTTAACCAGATATAGAAAATAATAAAAAAAAATTAATGATAAAATTCGAATTTGAATTTTAAGTGACAAAGTGTGTATCATAATCAATTACTGAATTTCGCGTCTATTATCATCTTTAAGCTATTTGAATGAATTGCTATTGGATGAAAATAAGATATTATTAATTTGATTATACGATACCATTTATTACTATGTTGGTAATTTTTTTCGGTACAATTTATGAAATACTTTCATTTATGACATGTAATTATGATGACAAACTTACATAATATTTAGTCATAAAATTAGTTAATTATTTTTTCATGTATGACATTTTACTTTGTTCGAAATTTTTATAATTAATATTTCACAAGATTTATACATATGTGACCAACATTTTTATATTTCATAAGAAAACTCATAAAAGTATTGTAACATGCACGATGTTAAACATTTAGTAATATATAATTAAATTTTGCTTTGGTCAACAAGAAATAGGGCAAAAGAATACCACATGATAAAGGAAGGCGAGAGGGATTGAGAAGCCAGCGTGCCGAAACGTTTACTTGTTGATGTAATTTTTAGCTATTTTTTTCAACTCCAAAATTTCCCACCGCAGGGAGGGAAACAACAAAATGGAGGTTGTTGAGTGTCATGTATGAAACTATGTCAATATATCCTAGGATTTCGTATCACTTTCTTGGAAGCTAAAATATCATTGCTATGCAGAAGTCCAAAATTAATAATCTATATACTGATTTAGTTCCCTTTCTCTTAATATATCACACCTCTCGCTCCCTCTATCTCAGTAATTTTGAACTCTTTTTCATTAAATTTATCAGTTTCTTTTTCTAAGTATTATTTCCATTCCTTATGATATTTTTGTTACACGTCCAAAAACTTTTTTACAATCGCGATACAAAAAATACACACACCGATAAAACAAACATTACCAAAACAAAAAAAAAAACTTCAATTGTTTAAATGCATCTAGTACTTTGGCTTGATCAACCAAAAAGTTACAAAGTGAAATTATAAGTTCAAGATTTCAAGATTCGGTTTTGTTTCTTCCACAAAGACAAAATTAAACTGGTCCAGATGCGCATATGACGTGAAGTACCCATTTGATTCTCCTTTCCTTTCCCCCAACGAACCAAAATTTGTCCAATTGGGGTTGACTCGGATGTATACGTTAGTTACCATCCCCATTTCCCACACAAAAAAATTAAAATTCAGAACCAAACCTCTAATTAACGAATTTGCTTGTACATTAATGTATTGTACACTTGTATATGATAATACGATTTATGTTGGTCGCATGAGATGCCACAATTATAATGTACTCTTGTGATATAATTTTCAGTTTTAAAATAATTATTTGATTTGAATTGAATTTAAATAATTATTTGGGACAAACGAAATACTATGTGGGGATGATGAGGTCTTCCTTTCCGTTCCCACTGATAAAGCAATGAATTGGATGTTGTTACATAATTTACATATTCATAGTGGATTTTATTTTCCATTTCATTTCACGGAACAACTTTCATGGTCGCTAGACTTGACTTTGTCCTTCAACGTCTGCAATTTCACTGAAAGTCCGCCTATTGGTATCTTTTGTTTTTTCTTTTTCAATATATACTACTCAACAACGTTTATGCCGTTTCGCGTTATTGTTACACCAAAATTATATATATATTGCCTTACAAATATGTATATCGATGCATCTTTTTTGTACGTAAATGAAGCATTATTTTCACTCAACAAATAAAAAAATGAAGGTAATTTAGTTGTTATAGACGTGAGTGGTTATTTCATCGATTTTCCTTGTCAATCAGGAAAAAAAATAATAATCTCACCATCTCAAAATAATTATCAAGTTTATTAAAAGAAAAAAAATTTAAACAGAACAATTATTTTGAGATAAAAAATTTTTTTTAAAAAAATACTAACAATCATTTCTTTTACTCCCTCGCTCTTCAGAGATATGTCTTGTCTTTTCCAGTGTTCAATAACCAATGTTAACTTCTATTAAAAAAACCAAAACAACAAAAATAAATGTTTTTAATACGCGGATGTAACTCAATTCTGTGAAAAATAATAAATTGGACAATTGTAAATCCTCCTGTCCGTATTAAAAAGCATTTTGGTTTGTTTAAAATTTTATTATAATACTATTTTAATTGAAATTGAAATTTTAAAAATATTTTATAATAATTAAAAAAATATAATAAATGTAAAAATATATTTTTAGGATAATAATATAATAAATGACTTATAATAAGAAGTGGGAGAGTATTATGTAGTAGTAATAGCAGCTCAGTAGCTGTATCAAATATAGGAGAGACCCGGGGATGCAGTGTGTGGTTGTTAATTACGTTGTTGTTTTCTACGAAAAAATTATGGTAATGTTTGATTAAAGTTTCAGGGAAATTAAGTGGTAATATAGTGGAAGGAGACTCAGGGTCAACCATGAATGGAAAAAGCAGATGGCTGGAGACACTGTGAGTGTGAGGTGGAGCCGTGGTGGGTTTCATTTGGGACTATAAAAAATTTTCTTTTTGACTGTTGAAAGTGATTCTCGTAATTAATTCTTCAGAGGCTATCGTAAATTTGGTGAAAGACATCAAGAAAGTACAGGAAGATTATGTGAAAATTTAAATCTCAGGGTCCTTACAAATTTGAAGGAATGGGATTTGATTTTTCCTCCACTTCTTCAGGTTTCTACTGATCTTAATTTGTACACATTCAAGCGTTGAGTGCATTGTTATGTTTACTTGAGTTACTTCTCGGTACTCATTCTAACCCAAATCCCTTTTATACCCTGTTAAAGCAGAAAACATGATACTGATGTGGCAATTTCTTATTAAAAAATTTTGGCTCTAAATGCACCATATTGCATAAACCATTCTGCCACGTGTCACCTCCTTTTAAAAACAAAAAATATATTTACAATATTAACGAAGAGATCAGATGGCCATGTTCATTCAAATTTTGAATTTGACAGTGAATGAAATTTTTCTTCTCCACTTATTTAGGACTTTCTAAAAAATTAATTTTCGATCAATCAATTATCTTCATCAAAAATTAAATTCATTCCTAATCAGTTTTGATTATTTACATATTAATTTATTAGGTGGGAGGACGCCCCGGGCATTTGCCCGGGACAAGCATCTAGTTGGTATTAAAAAAAAAACAAGTCAAATCATTTTGGGACGGAGTGAATAGAATATTCTGGTAGTTTCTTTTATCTTTTCATGTTCTACTTTCTTGTAGATCATATAGTGAAAAGTTCAGTTTCATGATGTGCTTCTGTGACAGTCAGGACTGCAGATCTATTGCGGTTCATTTCGCTAACTAGTGATTCATTTTTAAAAATCAGATAGTGTAACACATTGAGAAGCATAAATGTCCTATTACTGATAATTAGTGAATTTAGACATCTCTGTGTCCGGGAACTCCTGAATCCTACATTCATGATATTGTATAGAATCCAGTAACTCTCCGACCGAAAATGTTGTGCAGACTGAATTAGAAACTTAGAAATCTTGGGTCCATGATGCTTCTATTTCTTCAAGACTACGATCTTTTGTCTCAGGCAACATCTTCACAACAAATACAATCAACACAACACAAATGCTTGAAAATTTGAGGAATGTTCCTGGAAAACAAATACACATACAAAATGTCACGTTAAGGTTCACGGTTCATGTACATCGTGTGGAACAAATTAGCTAGGACTACGATTGCAATTAAACGAGGAGTGATTGAGAGATTACCAGCTGAGCTCCATCCGACCAAGAAATTGAATACGCAGGCTACAACCCATGAATTAAAACCCTGGGCAAAAGTTGCTACACTTTCAGCAGAGCTCTTTATGTTCATCGGAAATATCTTTGGAAAGCCAAGGTAGAAAGTTTAGTGCAGGCTTTTTTCTACAAACCAAGAACTTATGATATGGAGCATGTTACATCTTGACAAACCTCAGAGATGATGACCAATGGTAGTCCGGCGCCAAAGGCGAAAAAACCAAAATGCATCTGGTGGTATATCGAAAAGAAAGCGAAGAAACTCTGTTACAACCAGTTTGATCATAAAACTTTCATAGAGACAAGTGAGTTGAAATTAGACCAACATTCGAATGACATCACTTATTAAGTATTCAATAGATCTCTTTATAATCGTCGTGAGATTTTACCTGTATCCCGATGAATACAATCGTTGGAGTGACATTTGTCCACAGTCGCAAACTCTGATCATCAGAAAAACAAGAGGTGTATAAAATAACTGCAGAAGGGGAAAAAGAAAAATGAGCTGTTCCAAGTGGTTCTAACATAACCTGAAAGACGAATCCCACTCCAATGAGAATACCCCCTAAGCACACCCCAGCCAAATACATCTGCAAAACTCACCCCATTAGGTATAAATTTGCAACAAAGCCTGAAACTCTGAATTGTTTAAAATTCTTACGATCAGAAGTGGCCTTCTTCCGAATTTATCAGAGAGGAGAACACCTAAAACAGCAAAAGGAATCTGAACGAAAATGCTGGTCATTTGTCCTAAAAAAAAAAAGAAGCAAGAATCGTGTGCTAAAACACAATCAGGCTCAGAGCAAACAACACCTGAATAAAAGCCATAGTTGTCGTTACAATGCCAGCTCCACAACCTGTTAAGCATGAGATGGTGAGTATTGATCAACTTCTAGTCGTTGCTTTTCTATCTTTTGCTTACATGAAAGCTCAAAACTCTGATCTAACATTGAAGTAATTCATATTTCCAGGCTTATATATACCTGCAGCATCTGATATAGAACTCGCATATAGCAAGATCCCGTTGGTACCTGACCAAGGTAGCCAGAAAGGCAGCCCAACTCCAACCTGGAACAATCCATGGGGTTGTATATATCTGGCAAAGTAGAAATTAAAACTGTAACATTGTGTCGAATTCTGTAGCTTACAATGATTGGACCAGCGTATCTCTTCTCAAGTAACTCCTTAAATCTAAACACTGATTGCTCATTGGGTATAAGTCTGTGGAAACCAACGCTATAGGTCATGTTGTGTGGTCTAACCAATGAGTGATTTGTCAAATAAGTAGTTATGAATTAGTAGCCGCAATCAAGAGTTTCTCAAGAGTTTACCAAAATTTCAGCTGCTTCTTGCGAGACATCAGCCTTTTGGCCTCTAAGCCATTGCAGACTAGATTCTGCCTCTTTATGTCGACCAACTTTCGCCTACCGAAGGCAGACAAAATACTAAAATTAATACAAGTGAAAGACCCGAAACACCATACAAGCTATTCATAGATGATTACTGTCAAAAAGCCAGTTCAAACAATCTCTTCTTTTCATTCTTCGTTAAGAATCTATTTACAGGACAATTAAAAGCATTCAAAAGCTCATCTTGAAGATTTTCTGCAAACTTTTCACTGTTTTTCAATTTCGCCGTTCTTTTTCAAAGCAGTCCCCTCAGATGAACTGAAGGAAGTCATGAAAATTCAAACTAAAAACTCACCAACCATCTCGGAGACTCTGGAATGAATATCAATGCAATAAACTGTATGAAACATGGTATGATTCCTGGACACAGAATTGCGGTTAATACCGTCAGAAATGCAGTTGCAGCAGGTGCCTTAGCAAAAGTGAGTACTGAGTAGATCAATTATGAAAAAGAACTAAACAGTTACCAATCGAAGCCAAAGCACGCCAGGCGATTAGGTTCCCTGAGGAAAACATTACCATGACGCCTGAGCACACCATTAACTGTCAATGTGGCCATACAAATCAACATGATAGGTGTTGCTTCTTCATAAAAAGAAATCATAGACATCATATAGCATACATGGCTAGCCATCGTGAATGCTTCTCGAATACTTTTTGGAATGATCTCAGCAACATATATGACAGACTGCAGCCAAAGCAACAATCAGAAATTTGGATTTGTTGCAGTTAACTCTGTTTGGGAAATTACATGCTGAACTTCCTTACCACATAAATTTGAATTCCACTGCCAAATCCCAGTAAAAATCTTCCGGAATCAAGCCACCAAACATCCTACAAATATTTGAATCGCTAGTACATTAACACATGGTTTGTGTCTAAAACTACTTTCTTTACCTTTTCAATTCCCTCCCTTTGAGAATATGGTCAGTCAGAAAGAATTACTATACAGTTATAATTGGCTGAACCAACAATGCTGGAGGAAAAGATGAAATGATGAACATACACCTTAGCTAAAGAATCGCCAGCCATCCCGCGAAGGAAAACAGTAAAGTAAACCATAATGCCTGTAGATGGAAAGACAAACAAGTTTTGAGTGATTTAGGCATATACAGATCTATATTCACATCCCTTAGCGGATAAGATTCAACAAAACATACCCCTCGGCGACCAATGAAATCAGATATTCTGCCGCTTATGATTGCTCCAAACATTGTTCCGAACAAGCATAATGATCCAAACAATGAATACTGGAAAAATTTTAGGCATAACAGAACTTAAGTACAATTCATAAGGGAAGAAAAGTAGCAAAATTGCATTGATCTTGCTTTTCAAATCATCTCTGTATCTGAAACATAAGATGACCAGAACAAACTCAGTGATGAGTGGACTAATTACCTGTGCAGTAGAAAGGTTCAAATCATCTATGATTCCAGATTCAGCTGGTGATGAATATCCATTCTGGGGAAAATAAAAATACCAAAGAAACACAAAGTCAAAACAGGAAATGAGTGATACTAAAATTTATAATATCAAACAACAAGGTGCAACAATTGAATGTCAACAGTGCCAAATTCGCATTTGTTTTATACTCCTTTTGTCCCAAAAAATTAGTTCATTCCGATGTTGAATTGAGTTTAGATGAAGAACACATTGAACTTACAGCGCAACCATAAGTGAATAATCCCGATAAAGCTACCAAGCTGCTGAAAACTTCAGAAGCTGTGACTTTGGTGGAGCTGACATTATTAGTACAACAATTTTCTTCAACATCATCGCCATTTTGGGCATTGCAATTTTGCAGCAAACCTTCATCCATTATTACTAATACGTATAAAGCTGCTCACTCGAAACATTCAGTAAGATGAAAAAACAACCAAAAAATAAGAAGAAAACATGGCCTTTTTATTTAGTCTCTGATGTTACAATATTCTACTGTTCTTGCTTCAAAAATCAATTCTGTCTAATTTTTTTTGTGGGATCCGGAATCTGGTGGCCCTCAAAATAATTGTGGTGGTTAAACTTGAACTTCATTCCTTCAAAAATGCTAGTACTATAGCTAGTGATTCCTACTTAACAGAGATTCCAGAACCACAGAATGCATCAATGTGATGAGAATCTTTAACATTTTGTTTTGCTATTATTATTCGCCATTTTGCAACGTGTAGGAAATTACTACGGTCTACGTATCAGTTGCCGGGGGTAATTATTATTTTTTGGCTTAGACTTTCATTTCTAAGTACAAATTATTTTATAAATGAAAATTTGAAATTGGATAAGAATCCTGAAAAAGATGGAATACAATCTTTCCATTCCAATTCAATAGACTCATTTAGACAAAGAAGAAAATAAAAAACAAAAAAAAAGTGAATAACGTAGTTTAAATAGTTAGTTTTTGAGTAATTAACCTAACATGTACTTATTAATGGCTAGTGGTTGATAGTTAATATGGTGAAATTGCAAGTTAGATTCAATTAATAAATATTCTAAATTTTAGTGATAGTAACATGGTTTCATACATGAAATTAGTTCTGATGTCTAAAGTAGAATTTTTTTCCTTAAATATATTTCCTTATATATACCTGGACAAAAATAAACCTTTCAAAAATTTTGTAGACAAACTTATATGTCCCGGATTTAGGAAATCTGAATAAGGGAGAAACTCGGATTTCAAAAATCCGAACCTCTCTAAACTCGGATTATAGAAATCCGACTTTGTGTTACGTAAATCTGATATTAAGTTAATGACAAAAATTAGTGTAATTAATCTAACTCCGGATTTTTTAAATCCGTATTTACGAATAAAATATTAATTTCCGGATAGAAAAAAAAATGTGTTGAAAAATTAAATTTGGGAAAATCCGGATCACGGTAGTCCGAATAAATGTAGATTCGGATTACCGAAAATCCGAATCTCCTCTATTTTCTGAAAAATGCTACTCACAGTTGGCTACATACTCGGATTTACGAAATCCGAATCCTTTACAAAAAGTCTGAGTTCGGATTTCGCAAATCGGAGTCTATGTCAGAACTGAAAGAAAATGAAACATTGGAAAACAGAAATTTAATGGCAACAAAACAATAAACGTCATTCGATTAACAACAAAACAAATCAAGTTTCATACCAAAATCAATACAAAAACTACTTTAAATGTGCAAAACACATCAAATGTCTCATTTTTTCTCTTTTCCTTTATTGTGCGCATCCGGAGTGTATTTATTTGGACCCTGCTGGATCCTGTCTCCCCTCTTAAGATACGTGAGGATTGAACTCTGTTGTGGTTGCGACTGTCCACCAAACTGAGCCTCGGGTTGGGGTTGGGATTGGGACTCCCCCATGGTGAGAAATTTGACCCCGGGTTGTGATTGCGATTGCCCACCAAACTGAGTCTCGGGTCCACCAAGGTCAAACTGAGTCTCGGGTCCACCAATGTCTTCAAATTGAGTCTCGACCTGGATGAGCGAGTCTCGAGAAGAATGTGCTTGATCCTCATTTTGTTGACCCTCAGTTTGTTGTTGCGAAGTCCGCGGGGGGATTGGGACCTTCCTCTTTCTTCCTCCTCCAATCTTATCTCTCAATCACGGTTTCGCTTTTTTTACCCGGCGGAGGTTGTGAGGGCAAAGATGGATCTTCATCAACCAGGATTTGGGTATCCTCCACCTCCATCTCATCATTTGCTCCCAGGGTTAAAGCAGCATGTGTTTGATTGATGATCTCGTCCAAATGCTCGTCGAGTTCTTCGTCTAGGAGATTCTCATCTTCTCGTTTTTCTCTAAACTTCTCGATACTCACGCGAATATTGTTCAATACTTCACCCTGAAAAGAAATTGAGACGTTAATTAAGAGAGTAAAATTCTAAAAAAATAAAATAAAATAAAATAAAATGAAAACATAAGAAATAATAAAAAAAATATAGAATAAACTCACATATACTTTCACTCGGCTCGAAGAAGCCTCGTATCCTTGAGGTTCATAATTTTTGGAATTGGATATCAGTCTGACAGTGTTCACCATGAACCATTCATAGTACCCCTCATATATGGAGCCAGGGTCTCCTTCCTCCAAATCTCGTAGCACGTACTCTTCTCTCCTATTCCAATGATGATGTACTGCGGAATGGTGATCCACCCAATTGTTGCTAGGATACCCAGACATACTGTGGGCGTGATCGAGAAGGAATGCTGCGTTATCTTTAATCATAGAGCGCTTGGGAACATCCTGTATGTATCCAAATTGTCTCACAACTCTGCCCGACTCGTGGGGTTCCCTAATAGCCCAACAGAACATCCAACACCTGGTCGTCCAAATGGCTTGGCCTTGTTTACAGAAATCAGGGAGTCTATGAAGGACCTGTGCATATGGTTGCCATCGAAACTGCACAAAAAGAATTTCATTAGATGGTATAACCGGAACGAAAAGAAATTCAAAGTAAATATAAATACCAAATTACAAGTACTTACATCTTCAACACGCAGGCTTGTTAATTGATCTCTAAAAGGTGGGGTGCTGCTCCTTGGGGCATCTCCGTAGGTGTACCTACATTCCCACCTTAATGAACAAAGGGGTACATTTGAATTAGTAAAAGAAATGAATAAGAAACAAATAGAAATAAACATTGAGTTATTTTGAACTGAAAATACGTATCGCTGAGCTAATGGAGCGGTCTCATCAATCAAATAATCTACTCCTTTTCTTTGTGGCGCGATTCTCTCGATCCGCTCATACGCCCATACCTAGTAAATTTCAATAATAATGTTAAAACTTCAAATAATTATAACACCAATTGAAAACTAATACGTACCTGTAGCAAATATAGACAGCCAGTGGCGTCGTGCATGGTGTACTGTGATGCCTCGCACAGTCTAGAGTACAAACCAGCCAGCAGTGCCGATCCCTAACTGTATCGACTACACTGATCCAAATCCTCAACCTGGGCCAAGAACTGCAGATTGACAGTGTTTTGTGTCTTGTTAGGAAACATGAAACTGCTAATAAAATGCAATATAAGTGTCCTGGCCCTTTGCTCGAATCGATGGACAGTGGAATTCTCAGGGAGTGCGCGCCATCTCATCTTCGAAAATACCAACATTGATACATTGGCCATTTACTTAGGCTGGCCGGAATCCCAATTAAGCCTCACACCGATCCCGCCATTCATCTGCAATCCGGCTAACTGTCGTCCCGTACACCGGGTCACCATCCACCCGAATACCAAAGAGGACCTCGACATCCTGTAGTGTCATAGTCGCCTCTCCGAAATTGAAATAGAAAGTGTGGGTTTCTGGCCTCCACTGTTCCACCAACGCGGTAATGAGACCGAGATCCACGCTTTTGTAGCCTACTTTCATGATCCCCTCAAAACCGGCTCTCTTAATGACTTCCTTAACCTCCGGTGCCGTATTTTTTTATATCCCCCAAAAATCGCTGTCGTATCTACGTCCCTTGAGGCGGAATGTTTTAATGTCCGGTATCTTGTTCTCATAGATAGCTTGGAACCTATGCTTTGTTTGAAGATATAGCATTTTATCTTGTATTGGTCCCGGGTGAAGATGTTTAGGTTGATATTCATATTGCGAGCCCAATGCCGGCTGCGCCATTTCAATCCTACACAATGTAACCAATACAAACATCAATCCAAATATGCAAAAAAATGATGCACTAACCAAAAAAAAAAAAACTAATACTACATTCGGATTTCCCAACTACATATTGCACCACAAAAACTAATACACCACAATTCACAATACACATTCGGCCAAAAAAACAAAAACCTACATTCGGCCAAAATAACTACACTCAAACTGAATCCAAAAACAACCAAACTAATACACCACAATTCACAATACACATTCGGCCAAAAAAAAAACTACATTCGGCCAAAGTAACTACACTCAAACCGAATCCAAAAACAACTAAACTAATACACATTCACCAAACTTACCGGGAGGTTTGAATTCAGTCGGGAAGAATGGAGGGATTCGCCGGGAAGAATGGAGGGAGTCACCGGGAGGAGTGGAGGGAGTCGCCGGGAGGAGTGGAGGTAGTCACCGGGAAGAATGGAGGGATTCGCGAGGAAGAATGGAGGGATTCGCCGGGAGGAATGGAGAAAGTCGCCGGGAAGAATGGAGGGAGTCGCCGGGAAGAAACTCGGATTCGCCGGGGGTTTAATTTTAGGTTTTTTTAAACCAGGAATTGGGGGGAAAATGGGAGGGGGAAGAGTCGACCGTCTATATATAGTCCCACCAAACTCGGATTTCTGAAATCCGAAATCACAACATCCGGATTTCAAAAATCCGAGTCTCCCCTGTTTCTCCTCAAATTGCATACTCTCGAATGGTTTTCACCAATTCGGATTTCCGAAATCCGAGTACTTTGCTGCAGGAAAAAAGTCTGAGCTCGGATTTTGGAAATCCGAGTCTCCCCTGTTTCTCCTCAAATTGCATACTCTCGGATGGTTTTCACCAATTTAGATTTCTGAAATCCGAATGTATTACAAATTATGTGCATCATGCCATCTCACAATTTCATGAAGGCCGTGAGCTTTCAAAGACACACGCATCTTCCACTCACATGGTGGTTCACCATCCTCACTTTCCACATTTAATGTTCTGCACCGCACAGCCCACGTCGTTGGACTACTCGCTGCGACCGTATATTCCCTTTTATGATGGATGTTCCATAATTTCACAGCATGCTTTGCTTCTGATTGAGATTTGAAACAAACACCAATGTCCATTCCTTCGGGCGTCTCATCCCACATCTTAAGAGCAAACTCATCCTTGTCCACACATGAGACATCCCATTTCCCCATCTTACTATATACATGGCGTCAGGGCAATGGATTACAACCCCTTTCCTCATTTTCCAACCTTTCATCATCACTTTCTTCAAAATCACTCTCTCCGGAGACATCACAGTCTTCTTCGCTTTCACTTGGAGCTATGTAGTCGGAATCCTACTCTTTCTGGTAGTCATCTTGTGCAAATAAAGGTGTCTCCTCTTCATCACGGTTTCGAGAAGTACTAGCACGTTCCCCCCTTGGAAAACCACCAAATGACATTTTCCAAACTCGCTTCTCTTTCTTCTTGAGTGATATCTTCCAAATCTATATATAAATCCAAACATGACATTGGATCTACACGGTTCATGAACTCTACATGCGAATCATTCTTGATCTTCACTACACGCCTACCACCGGGACTATCGAAAATCAAAGAAAGGTGGAGTTTCACGTGTGCTGGATCCCAACCAAGTGTCATACAAATCTTACTAATCAATCCCTAATATGACAACCTTTCCTCAACAAACAAACCATCATCCGGCATATTCGAAAAAGTGTTGATGCTACCATTCTCTATCACATACTTGCTTGTATGATACAAATTAAGCATGTATGATACATTACGTGTCATTGATAACTGTTAAAAAAAATATCAATAACTAATCATTTCTTAATAATAAAATCAATAAATACACCATACATACTCCATTCATAATTCAAAAAACCTATAAAATACTAAAATACTTATAAATCAACTTCCATATCTCATGAATAACTATGATATTTCATCTCTAACCTCAAAATCAACACCTAAAACATCCAAACAACCAACCAACATAAACCCTAATCTATCATACATCATTCTAACAATAAAAATAACACAAAACTAAACTAAATAACATAGTTTTGCAATCTAACCTCTTTCAAATAACGATTCCCACGTATCTAGAGGCAAGAATGCATCAAAAGCTCCAATTCGCCCTTGTTTGAGCTGCAAAAACAGAAAATCTAACTCAGTTCTCGAATGAGAACTGTCTGAATTTTTTTTTCTTTTATAGCACGAAAAACTCGGATTTCCGAATTCCGAGTCCGTAAGTAACTCAGATTTTAAAAATCCGAATTACCGTGGTCTCGGATTTCCTGAATCCAAGTTTGGTCAATTCCGAATTTTTTTATTCATTTTTTGGTCCTCCCATTTATGGCACATGCCTACTTCCACCAAACAAAATTAAAGGCAGTCGGATTTCCAAAATTCGAATACAGAAAACCGGATTACAGACTTCCGATTTTTTGATTCAAAAATTTCGCTCCGCAATTTTCTTTTTTTCTTTTTTCTTTTTTTACACTCGGATTTGGTAAATCAGAGTACTACTGTTCATTTAAGGAGTCCAGGTCCTGGACTCCTTATTTGAGTTCAAATATTTCGCGCCTCAATTTATTATTTTTTAACTAAATTCGGATTCCGGAAATCCGAACGACACTGTTCATTTCAGAATTTTTAAAAACTAGTATTCAACAAAATTTATTTAATTATTATTTTATTATTAAATATAGGCTCGGATTTAAGAAATCCGAATCTTTAATTTTAATTAGAACTCAAATTTCAGAAATTCGAGAGATATATTTCTATCCACTAATATTCTGAAAAATTAAAATTTGTCCACATTTATTTTATTTAATTTTTTTTGGAAAAAAGCCCATCTAAAGTAGGACTTAATTTTGAAAATTTTTGAAGGATAGTGTCCCTATTGCATTGAAATGGATGGAATAGTATAACGATAAGCATGATCATTACATTTTGGGATTATTTGAGCTGCGAATTTTGTTGATCATTGGCTAGTGTCTAAAATACTACTACTCTCTCCATTTCAATTTGTATTTCGTTTTAACTTTTGAGAAATTTTTTAAAATGTAGGTCGTTTTACAAATTCTAATCAAATTAATGACTATTTTTTCAACTTTACCCTCAATAAATGATACTAATTTATTTTCATTTAGTCTTGGTTATAGTTTCAAAGTAATTAATGAGGGGTAAAATAAATATTTAATACATAAATTAATTATTGGATGATTGTTTTCTTAGTTAACATGCCAAGTCTAAAAACACTTACATTTTGAAATGGAGAGAATAATAAAGAATAACTCTACCCAAATTTATGGAGTGTCTGTATGTCGCTTTCCGACGCTACAAATTTTGTCTTTTTTTCTTGGGAAAAGCAAATAACGAGAATATGCGAACACGGGTAAACCCCACGGACAGTGGACCTCGTCCACATTATTAGGAGCCTCTGGTCGGTCTATGTAGGCTTTTCACTTTTGCGAAAACAGTTTCTTTTTCACATTTCATCTTTATATTTCATTTTGTCTATGCAAATACTACTAGTATTACGCAATATAATTGATTTTGATACTTACTGTATTTCGTAACTACCAAAAATAAATTTTGTAATTGGAACTCAGAATTCATAGTCCAAAGTACTAATTTCATCAGTATGTCCTTGAGGTATTAAACTGTCCGAATCTATAAAAAGGAAATGACTAATTTGAATTCATCGTACGAAAAAGTACTTCTTACTAGACTGACTAGTACTCAAAAGCCTTCCTCCTTATTGATCAACATGCAATTATTCTATCGAGAAGTGCGAGTGATATCTTGATACGAAAATAAAATTTCACTTAACTGTATAACGATATGAAAATTGTTTTTAATAGAGGAAAACAATAGACAATCTAGAAATTTATTCCATTCTTACGAAGGCCTCCTCACCAGCTTGCAAGTTTGGCCATTTCATTTTTGTTTACTTTGCGTTTGTGCATTCAAAAACTTACAGTGCAATTAAGTTATTGTAGTCATGTCAACTACCAATCAATAATAATAAAACAATAACTTTAAAGTGCCGACCAATAGAACGTTTAGTCTAGCTTAACTGCTTACGAATCATATATCAGTTTTATTTTGTTATTAAAAAATATCATTCGTCCTTATTAGTCTTTTTAGACGCAATTAAGAATAATTTTCTTTATTAATAATTAAGATAAACACTATAGCTCTATATATATATATTTATTTATATTTACAGGTTAGTTAATAGAAGAAAAATTTAGTACCCACATAGACTGAATGATGATACAATCGTTGAATAACTAAAATAGTTTTCAAATGAATAGCGCTATGGTTATTCGATTTTTGGAATATAAACTGAACAATTTTGTAACGGCAGTAGACTTCTATTTTTATAAAATATATAAAAAAATTATAACTAGACAAGAAAAAAATAAAAAATAAAACGTACTTGGCCTTTAAGATTCTGGCCACGGCTTCACTACACGATAATTAATCAGCCTATTATTATGAAATTTAATGTCAACTGTCAAGCAGATAAGAAACGAAGTTGTGTCATGTCATGTGTGATGTAAACAAAGCGGAAAAAGGCTAAAAAAAAAAAAATAAACAGAAGAAAGGCCTGTATTTTAATGAGAAAATTTGGATGAAGGGTGGTGGAGAGAGTTAAATTAATAAAAAGGGTAAAATTTTAAAATAGTTTTTATTAATGGCAGTAATCTATTTGGCAAAAAATATAAAATAAAATTAATTGTGTACTGACGTAAATACCCGTTTCTTCCCCAAAACGAAATCAAATCCTTCTGAAAATTAATCCTTTGCTGTCAGAGGATATCTCCTGCTACTTCCTATAAAACGATATCACCACCTCTACCATGAGAAAGTCTCCAATGGAATTGATTGATCAATAAAGTTTCACCTATTTAGGTTGAAGGAAAAATTGTTCGTAGCGAAGGAGACAGTAATCCTGTGCTAGGACATCCTATTGAATTCATATATATGTCTTAATTTGGATGCCCCAATCGTATGCAAGTATTCATGTCTATGTTGTATGATGTTTTAACGCAATGAAAGCTGCCATGTATTCGAGATGAACGCTAATTTTTGGCTTATTCCAAGTTTTACTTTTGATCTTTGTTCACTGCTATTTGATAATTTTGGAGCTTGATCAATATAACCATTTGTAGCATAGAAAAAAAGTAAAAATCCATTCAATGGACTTTGGTAGGAAATTGTAGTACAATTGATATATATATATATATATATATATCTTCCGATATTTTGCCTAAAAAAGAAGGAAAAAATAAATGAAGGAAAAAGTGTAATCAGAACTAAACTCCTATTCTAATGTTGAAACAATCTTATCCCCAAGGTATTGGATTTAATTTTTGGTTAGTAAAATAAATATTAAGGGTAACCGTGTCAATACACAAGTATTTTTATTTTATAATTCTTGTCAAATAAATAACTGCCCTTAATAAAAATTATTTTTAAATCATACCCCTTTTATCAATTTAATCATTTCCACTATCCCTCATCCAAATTTTTCCTATTTTAATTTTACAAATAGTATTAATTAATAATGTCTGGGGAACATATTGCATCAAGGGAAGCCGTCAGATTAGCGGCAGTGCTTGGAATCTCACAATTCACTCTCGTCGACGATTCTACTGCGGTGATCAATCGACCACAGCCAGAGGAGATCGACTAATCAGACTAGGAATTAATAGTGACTGAAACCAAAACGCGCTTCCAAGACCAAGTCCAGTTTGATTGCAAATGGATTAGCCGAAAGTTTAATAACGTTCCCTACTGTTTAGCTCAATATGCCAAAGCTAAACGTGATTTTGAAAAATATTGGGACATCATTCCTGAATTTGTACCTCAATCCGTGTTGAGCGCTTTCCCAGCAGTTTGAATAAATTTCACTTTATTAAAAAAAAAATTATACTCCCTCCATTTCAAAATGTAAGTCACTTTAGGCTTGGCACGTATACTAAGAAGACAATCATCCAACAATTAATTTATGTATCAATTATCTATTTTACCCCTCATTAATCACATTGAAATTATACACAAGACTAAATGGAAATATATTGGCATTATTTATTGAGGGTAAAGTTGAAAAAATAGTCATTAATTTGCTTAGAATTTGTAAAAGGATCTATATTTTGAAAAATCTCTCCAA